TTCCATGACGGCAACCCTAGGTTTCTGAAGAGCGGTTTGGAAGCTCAGAGTGAGCTGCTCTGCCGTTGCCATCTTGGCACTGCCTGACTAACTCCTGGAGGTTGCTGCTTGGTTACAACATTTAAACCCTTTTTAAAAGGGTGCCTTATTAGAAAGTGGTACCAAATATTGTGCTAATCTGAGCATCCTTTTAAATGCAGGCCCATGTCACTGTAAAGAAGATTTTCTCTTTCTTCCAATGCTTATTTGCAGTTACAGGAAAATCACAGTTTTATGACAGCTTCTTATGTTCCTTGTTCACTACACAAGCCAACAGCTACTTAAGCTACTTCATTTGGAGGTCCAACTCAAAGTAAGCACAGCAGTATTGTCGCTAATATTCTGTTATTGCACAGGGAGACCGTGTGAGCTCACAACTACAGTAAGTACAATAGGTCAAAGTTGAATCAAGAAGTTTTTCTGTTAACTGTGAGGGATGGTGGTGCTGGTTTTGCTAACTTGAAGATTTCTTTCAGATGGTGTTGGCGCATTACCAGATCTCAGCAATTAACTTGGTGAGTGCAGTCTTGTCTTTAACAAAAGGAACAGTGGCCAAACTGAAACAATAAGACCTTGGTTGCTTGAAACTTGAATTTTCCTTTAAGGATGTACAAATTAGTGTAAGGTCTTTTTGTGCAGAAAAACCAGAGGGCCTTTCTCAGCAGCGTCCCAAACTCCAAAACCTACTCAGACCCAGGGAAGAGTTAAACTAGGACATCAAGTGGAAAGAAGCGGCATTTTTTTTTCTTTAGGAAGCAGCATTGTACTCCACTGTACTCACAGAGGCTCCACTGTTTGGTGCCCTGAAGAGAGCAGTAAGACAGGCGGAGGGGCCCCTTCCCCACAAAATAGAGCGAAAACACAACAATCCCTTTATTCAGCTGTTTGGACCTGCCATCTGAACAGCAGCTCGTCATTAAATTAACATCACAGCAGGCGCGCGCCCTGGCCCTTGCTTCCCGGTGCATTGTGGTGCACTCAGGAGGAAACTCATTCTTTCAGGGGATACCAGGTCAAAAAGCAGGGGTGGTATAGACTTGTCCCAGCAGCCTTGGTGTTTAGGAATGGAAACACTCGCCGAGCCACTGTGTAAGTCTTCGCGAGGCGTAGTGTTGAAAGGACAACCTTTTAATCCCTGGCAGCCGTGACGGGCAGAGACAGATTTGCTTTTTGTTTTTGATGTTGTGCCACTTTCTCGCCATATCCACCCCCTGGACAGGACTGCAGTCAGTGCCAAGGCCTGTGACCACTGGTGAGGCTGCAGCACATTCAGTTAGGCTGAGGCCTGTATTCAGACCACAGACTCATCTGTTGTGCACCTGCTCCGGGGAAATGTCTTGAATAAGTTCCCCAAGGGTTTCCCAATAGAGGGATTTGTATGGTAGCAGTGCACTGCCTGGCTCATGCACACAGACAGTAAATTAGCTCCTGAGCAGCACTGAAACACTGTTTAAATAAAACAAAGGCTAAATTATTTGTCAGGACAGAAGAGTTTGAAACCAAACTTTACCTTTTTCATACTTCAAAATGAATGGACTCTGCCATCCAATTGAAACTGTTGGATCATGGTCTCCAACCTGTGTGAATGGGTTCGTTTTGCCTCAAGCTTTTGGCATTAAAAGACCTTTCTGGCAGAAAAACCAACAGTTCAGCTCGTCAGAGGAGGAAAGAGAGAGGTTAGTCCTCCTACAAGCAAATAAAAAGCAAAGTTTAAATACCTGTTGGTGATGAAAAAACATATAGACATTTGTTTAATAAGAAAGAGAAGTGAGCCTCAGACCTTTGTTAGTTACTTGTACTGTAAATCAACATTACTACAAGTCTCAATTAACATTACATGGGCAAGTTTGGGTGAAATACTTGATGTAACATCCAAAATGGCCAATGATACTGATTGAATCATTTTGTGACATTTATAGTAATGTTTGCTCTGTAGTTTAGAGGGCAAGTTTCCATCACTCACTCATTTCTTCTAACTTTTCTTAACATCTGTCTGTCCATCCGTCCTTCCCTCCCCATAGGTATCTGGGTCAGACCACAACCTTTCATCCCGCTCCTCCTGAGGGAATCCCTCACGCGGCCAGGCCAGCAGGGTGCATGTGCCAATGGTCTGTACATCAGTTCTGGCCAGAACATCTTCTGAAGAAGGCACATGTTGTGTAGCAGGTGCCTGAATTACTTCAGCTTGCTTCAACAATGTGAGGAAGCAGCAGCAGCTTGACCTTGAAGTCCTCTTAGTTGGCTGAAATCCTCAATCTGTTGTAGAAAGGGAAGAGCTTCACCATGTAAAAGAACCTCAGCATGCCATACACTGTCTGTCAGAGACTTAAAGAACTCCCAAAGCCCCCAAGGTACCTGAACGCCCCCTTTTAGGGCTGATGTTACCCAGATTGTGTCACAACTAGCTGCAATCTGCTGTGGTGCACATGATAAATCGCTGACCAATGAAGCCCAAATAACAGTGGAGTTCCTTCTTAGACCTGAATGCTTTTCATACCTTGAACTGCACTTTAATGTTTTCACTCCTTAAGCACTACCGCAACTCTTCCCACAAGATAATATTAGGGAAAATGGTCCAGGGATTTTCCAGTACCACAAATAATTTCACTTTTTACTGTCGATTGTCAAAAATGTTATGCAAAAGAAAATAAAGGAGAGTATTGGTTAGGGTTTACCATCAATTATATCTTCACCGTGGTATCCGAACTTTCCATTCAACTATATTAGACTGAAATAATGAGCTATTACTCAAAAATGATGCAAACAGATTGCAGATGGAGGGAACTGGCTTTAAAAGGTTTTTCACATATGTTTTCATTTTTTTCCCATCTAACCTTTAATTTATACTTCAGGGCCACTCTACAGTATGTAATCCCACATTCCTAATAACAATGCATGTATAATAACAGCAATGCCACGTGTGTCATATGTTTCAACACCGCCTCAGTCGCTACTCTTTTCATTGTTTATTGAAGAAATGATGTCTGTATTCTCATTCACTGGGTTGTCCCTCTAACGTTGTTGTTCTTGTCCTTCTACCGACCACCTTGCTGGTAAGGAGCGACATAGATCGCTGGGCAATCAGGTCAGAAAGGTTAGTGAAGCAAAAGAGGTCAGATAGACAAACTGACCACAACGCCACTATGTCTGTTCGTTCCAGTAACGTTGCCTCCAAATCCCAGACCCCGAGGGCGAGTCACACGAGGACAGCTCTCCTCATTTCTACATCTCGTTCAATTCCCCAATACATTGTGCAAAAAATAACAAATGTCCCAATGTGTTTCTGTGAATTTAAAACTCTTTCGCTAAGAATAAAAGCTCTTATGTGTCAATGGTTGATTCATGTAAATGTTCAACTGTGGCATTAGTCACGCTGGAGCCACAGGGCCCTGCTTGGAAGCTTTCGACTGTATTTGCTACAGTCTGTCTGGTCTTATCTTGCTGCCCCACTCCGTCTTTTAATCTTGCTGCCTCAGAACTGTATCAGACACAAAGACGTGTCTCTCGGGAGTGTCTGGGAAGAAGCAGAGCAAGTGGCAAATAGCAGCAGGGAGTGGGATGTTGCAGAACGAGGGGATGTGGGGTTTTGAACCTAAGGCTCTTTTAAAGGGGAAGTTCGGGGTTTTTAAGAAGCGTATTAGTGTGATTTCATCATAAATTGGGAGTTATTGCAGAATACTCCAAACATTCCTGCACCCATTGTTTTGCCTTTGGGATTTCAGGAGCGTAAGTTCATGGGGTTTATTACAGTATAGCAAGACAAATAGAATACAAATATAAAAGGTTTCTATCACATACGTTTTCAGAATAATTGTTTTTAACTAGATATGTTCCCACTATTCCAGCTGCTCACTGCCCAGTCTGTCACTGAGAGCATAAACTCTTTTGTTCCCAAAGCCAGAAACCTGTGGAGACCTGAGCCTGTGTAGCCGGGCCAGCACAAGACCGTTTTGCTCCCAAGCAGATGTTGACCTTCCACCTCACCCACCACCACCCACCCAGCTGTGTCACACAGGTACTCTCCACATAAGAGGAAACATCACAGCTTAGTGTGGTTAGGTGTGAACTGTTGTACTTGTGACCACGCCCACCTTTGTTGTAGCGAGCTACTGGATCACTGGATCACTGGATGTAAATTTAAAGGGATCATTCAGGTTATTTGACGTGGGGTTGTGTGAGGTACTTATGAATATTGGTTACATTACCCACAGTAGATTCTGTTCAACACACTCCCAGTTATGAAAGCCGGCCGGGAGCGCCGGCAGACTAGCAGAACGATGTTTCATCTAGAATATACCCAGCAGTTTATCTTCCCGAGAAAACAGCATTGTTTTTTTTTTGTCACTACATTTTTTCAACCGCTGAGCTACTGTATTCCTACGCACAAGTGCACCTAAGGAGTGCACTGTATTACGCTGCAGTCGCAGGTCAGCTGAGTGAATCAGACAGCGGGATAATACAGTGCACTCCGTAGGTGCGCTTTAAAGCCGCCACAGACCATAAAGGCTGAACCAAAATGAGACAGTTTGACCCATGGAGAATTTTGGTCACCAGCTGTGCTAGCTCTTACCGTTGAGCCACAAAGCACGGCTCCTGTTACCGAGCAACCCTGACAACAGTCAACTTTTTTGCCTTTAAGTTGCCCTGGGTTTTAACAGTTGTACCGTTAGGTGTTGAACTGAGCTGAACGCCAATACTTACATGTAAAAGTGTGATCCCTGGGCTCTCTGTCTGTGTTTATTTGCTGCCATATTTTTTTTGTTACCTGCACGCAATGAATCTTGGGATAGGATGGGCCACCCGTTGGAACCTTTATTAGTCACGTCACTGTGATGCAATCGCTCTTCATATGCAGCCTCCTAAAGATATGGGCCCTGGACTGGGACACAGTTCATGTTTGTTTACAAGGAAAATCAACAGTATACCTTTAATATAAATGCAAAGGAAAGAGACTCTGATACTGTTTGTTCCATTTTTTATTGTTTCTTGTCATGAATACTTATCGATGCAACTGATGACTAAATCCTACGTAAACAGCTGATACCAGGGTTGCAGGTATTGACACTGAGATATCCAGCTAATGTACTGCAGACACAATACTCACTACAAATAACCAGATTACAGAGACTATGCAGGTTGATGCTTACAGATTACACAGGACACTTCGCAAATGTGTTAGCATGTTAGCATGATAGAGTGTTGTTGGCTTTAAACGAGTTGTGGTCCAACTGGGTTCCTTCCTTGTCTTGATGAAGGTCGCAGAGCTTCATTCCCGGACGTAAATCCGTGTGCACACTACGTCATCTGCCCCAAAAATCTGGAGGAAACAAACAGACATGTCTGTGCTTTAGACACCTGATAGTGATTAGACTTCACATTTTAAAGCTGTTTCTTATTCAGCTGCAACAAACACCTCGGCATGCTTCAACTGAAGAACTCGTCAGATGGTCTAAAAGTTGCATTCAGGCCAGTTTTATCTCAGTGTGAAACAACGCAGCTTTCTCATTCGTTTCAACAGAGCCAGTCCGCTGATGAAGCAGGAGCACAGCGTCGTCCAAGGAGCTGCATTTACCAATCAAACGTTCCTGGCGGATTACTTTTTAATGTGGATGTATTATTTCTACTGTTTACCTCACAGTCGCCGTAGCGGAATATAAAGTAACTGTCGCTGTGATATAAAATCCTGTGTCAGAGTATTATAAACCGCTGTGCAGCGTTTGATCATCTGAAAAGCCTGGACGTGGACTTTATTTCATGTCTCACCAGTGACTGAAACAACATACATCCAGACTCTGTAACTCTGCAAAACCAATAATCCAACCACCATGCCCGCCTCACACAGTGATCTGCCAGGTGTGTGGAGTTGTGGCATTTTTGATTTGAACTTTTCTCTCCTGTGTTTTTTTTTTTTTTCAACTATAGCTTTTTGTGTGTGCAAACAATGAATGCCTTCAATTAGAGACTGTCATACAGCCGTATCCCCATTCCTACTAACTAAGGACTGAAAGGGAAAGGACTACAAAGACACAAGGCAAATCATTTTTGTAGAGGGAGTCAGTGTGTGTGGCCATTTGCATCAGGTATAAACACTTTAGTCTTTAAATGTGGCTGGACATCACATCGTACGAACCAGTTCGTTTCAAGCATACTGAAACCCTTATGAGTCTCTCCTGAGTCCAACTTGTTTCACGATGGTTGGTTATGATACTGTTACCATATTGTTTGCATTATGAGTGAGGCAAAGTTGGTGGACTTACTTCATTTAAAATTTGGATTTGAGTTCACAGTGAAGAAAACTGTCCAACTAAATTTCAAAATGTATAAAGCAGTGATATATGTGATATATGTGTCACAGCATCACAGGCAAATCAGTCAGCGAGTCTAGACACGCTGCCAACTGTTGATGATGAAACCAAAAGAAACTGCTTAATAAGTGATTTATGCAGCACTTGAATGCACAGGCTTGAAGTCCAATCTTCTGATGTGCCATCGTTTTCTGATTTTATTTCGGGCTGATGTAGTTGAAGAAAATCCACACGACTCTGCCCTTATAGTGTTTTCAGACTAAGCCAATTAAACGGATCATGCAAATCGTATGGAAATGTGCCCCACTTACAGTATGAACTGCCACAGACAATCAGACCATTGCTTTATGATCGGCGCTCCTCTTCTGAGTCTCGAGCTGAAGCTCTGAAATTGTGGGGTTGTGTCTGTGTCTGTGTCTGGGGGCTTTTTTGGAGACTGATGTAGATATGATTCGAGTTGAGACGGTGGTTGTTTTGGTTTTTCCAGTTGCCTGTCCCAGAAGAAAGAGGTCGTCTGGGTGCAAAGATGACTCATGTCTTTTTTCTCCAGAGAAGCTTTAAGTTTTCCAGGACTTTAATGATATATTATTTAATCAGCATTAAGTTCTGTATTTTAATAACTGTGCAAGTTTATGAGCAAGTGATGTCAAGATATTAGGCTGATTTAATTTGAACATATGGCACAGTAGTTATAGTAAAGTATAGTAATAGTTCACAGTCACATATTGACACATAATTTCACCTGTGTTATAGTTTAGGAGACAGCTCTGCTGCTGTGGGAACAAAAAGGCTAAATACTGTTAAATTACATTTTCTGTTAAACAGTCAGTCATGCTGTAATTCTGAGAGAGCACTCATAGCAAGGTGCAGACTATTTTGGGCGTCAGAACAAATAGATCAAAGTGAAAAATAAGTTGCACAGCTCCTCTCCACTGTGACATGTTTTATTCTCCAAATATTTTTTTTCTGCTGATATTGGAATGGTTCAAATATACTGTAGCTGAAAATTGATTTTGAAAAATAATTTTGAAATTTGTTCCTTTTGATAAACGTGTAGTTTGGCAAGACGGGGTGAAACTGATTGGAACAGTAGATTTATCTTGTTTTAGTCACATATACATACTGTATGTTCAGGTACATATTATATAAGGGTGTGTGTCTTGTGGCTATTTTTTGTGGCTTTTTATGCCTTTATGATAGCCGCACTGAGAGAGAGACAGGAAAGTTGGGGAGAGAGAGAGAGGGGATGACATGTAGCAAAGGGCTACGGGTCAGCCTCGCACCCATGGCTGCTGCGGTTAGGACTAAGCCTTAACGGGACGCGCTCTACCAGGTGAGCCACAGAGGCGCTGAGTGTCTTCTTAAGGACTGCCTAAAAGTAAAAACTTCAGCAGGCATCAATTTTGAAATAAAAACTACTGCAAGTAGTTGATGTTTTGAGCCAGATTTTAGAAATACCGTATGTATTTCTTAAATCATTGCAAATCTCAATTCAAGTCTCAAGTCCCCAGTTGTCAAGTCCGTGTCCAAGTCCGAGTCACGAAAGAAGAGTCTAAATCAAGTCCCCATTGTCCAAGTCTGAGTCATTAAAGGAATGTCATTATGGCTGAGTCTGAGTGGAGCTTCAGGATCAACTCCACTGCTCTGACACAGTCAAAGAGCTGTCACCATTTCAAAGGGAGTTTATTTAGTTTGTTACACGGGTAGCCAAAGAAACACACTACTAACAAGTCTGAGTCCTCATCTTCAACATCCGAGTCCAAATACAGTCAAAGCTCGAGTCTGAGTCCAAGTCTGAGTCATCAGTGCTCAAGTCCTAGTCAGTCACGAATCCTGGAAATCAGGGCTGAAGTTGGCCTCGAGTCCTCGAGTATTACAACACTGGTCAGTAGCTGCATTGTCAACACAGAGCTTCATGTTCCTTTTTAAAGAGCAGCTTCTATCGTTTCTGTTTTCTAATTCTGGATGGTCACATCTATTCTGTGTTTTCACAGACAGTGTTTCGCTGCGCTGCAGTGAAGGAACAGTGACACACACGGGGGATTTCTCACTGAAAAAACTGTGACCATTAGATGCCTCAGACTGCTCAATCCTTTCGTCAGCTTCGACTGAACTTCAAGACATTCATACACAGAGTCAGGACTGCAGATTTGGTCTCCCATCTCTTACAGTGTAGTCACATTAGGACTGGATTGCTTCACAGCCAATATGGAAAGGAGGAAGGGATTTCAGCAGCCAATGAATGTTTAAACGCACATTTAAGTTTTGTGTTAAGACAGGAAAAAATGAAAAATACTCTAACAGTCTGTCACAGCCATCTCCCAATCCACATCTCTCCCACTTGGTTTAAAGATGTTTCACTCACGGTGCCTGGGAGTTCTCACTGTCCTTCACTGACACTGTCAAAGCTGCTTGTGGCGCCAAAACTAGGGCAGTTGTCTCAGGTGGATGATGAGCACATTCACTTGTTATTGTTGTCATGGCAACAAGTACAAGTTGCATGTACTCATACCCAATTTCATACCATATACCTCCAGTGCCTGTAATCTCTACCGCACAATGGATGAGTGAGACTGTGCAGCTTTTTGCGGATTAAAGAAATCCAGAGTTGGGTTTCTACCAGCCGCAGTTTGACCGTGGTCTGTCGGAGGGTCGGGTGATGGCGTGACAGCAGGGAGGGCTGAGGTGGGAAGAGCAGAGAAACACACAGAGGCTCGGCTGCTGTCACAGCTCGGCCGGATCAATCTCCATTAGTGCGTGAATGCCTCAGCTCCTCCAGGGCAGCCGGGCCAAAGTGTCACCAGAGAGTCAGGCGCTGTAACACACACCCTCCTTATTTCACCCAAACGCTGGGAAAGATTTCATATGTTCTGCCTCCTTCTGAGCATTGACGATATGATTAAAGCTGCCTCTGCTCCTCTTCCCAGTGCTCGCTTCTGGCTTAAGATACAAAGCTCTGCAAACATCCGGCGATGAATTTTTCCAGCATCTAAAACTTCTACATTGTTGTTTCAAGCTTTTGCCGGTTGGACATTCATCTTACAAGTACTCAAGGAACAACAAAGCAGAGCGTGGGAGCGTTGAACGGTTGAGCGAGGAAAACTGTCGAGTCCCTGAGAACCTTTCGTCTGGTCCGTTGGTCTTGGACCGCTCCCCTGCACATCGTTCGAGGGGCTTTAGACCCATTGACTTCTGCCCATATTAATCTGGCTAAATACAGGGGGTATTACTGCGATGTCAGCGTAGCAGCTCCTCTTGTTCTCCTTTCACATCTCTCTGCGGGGTGGATGAAAGCTCGGCTCCTTGGGAAACGGCCTCTCTCATTTCCTTTACGGATGAATCTCCAGGGTGACTTCATTCACTCCCTGCCTCGTTTCATTAACCATTTCTCAAACAGAGCACACTAGCTGATTGAAAATCCCATTTTGATGCACCTGATGACTTCTGAGCCTCCATGAGCCACACAACAGACAAATCATACTGATTAGTTCCCCATCAGATCAAACCTTCTCTGTGATTAGAATAATGTTTTGGATTGAATATTTTAATCTTTTTTCTTTTATTTGAGCAAAGACCTCAGCCAGAAATATTTGAGAGTCATTAATCTCCTGAGCTTGTAAAGCGTTTTCTTTTCTTTTCTATGCAGCAATCCATTAAGGGGCTTCCAGTAAGATAATGAGTCATTAGTGTGTGTGCACTCACCAGTGTGAGCTCATCTCCGTTCAGCTCTCTGGTCCAGAATGTTTTGGGGCCTTGGCCGTCCACCAGAGTCTGCTGGCAGTGGATCTTGTTCTCTGACTCCCAGGTGGCGAGGCTCTGCAGGGGGGAGGCACAACAAGGTGGGGAGGTCAACATGCGGCTGTGAGTGATGGTAAAACACATTGTCAAGGCGGATCTTTACAGGGCTCTGTGTGTTTGGGTAAGGTCAGAGGTGTGCTCTGTTGCACCTGTACCCACACCCAGCAGTGATGTCACAGCTGAAGTCCCTACTATTTTTATTATAAGAGGGTCGCCATTGTGTTTGTCTCGTGCGTAGGTGATACAACACACGTGGTTTCACACTTCTCCACTTATCAGCTGATGGCAGTAAGGACCAACAAAGGCAGACAAGAAGAAGACTATGGTGGATTACAACACTTGACACAATATGTTTTGATGAGAAATACTCGATGTAAACAGAACTTTTATTTGGTTACTAGAAAACTTACACAGGTTACCTTTAAGAGACACTGTTTTAGGAGGAATTTTTCATTTCAACACAAAATACAGCTGTTTTGTGTCTTGTATTTAAGGACAGGCTTCTTGATCTATTTATCTCTATTTATATGGATTTTTTTTTCAGCACTTGTTAAGCAGTTGTTTTTCACAAATTGCATCTATACATCATCACAAAGTTTACAATGTTCTGTTGTTATGGCTCTAGTAACCTCTTTAACCTGATTTTGCAACTGTGTGGCTGACATCTAACCAGAAATTAAAAAACAAACAAACTGAATTTAGTGGATAGTTACAAAGAAATTTGACACTTTTTGGTCGCAAACACTTACAGCTCAGCAAAAAGTATGTTGATCCAGTCAAGTGTGTTAAGAGTTCATGTTTATATCTCAGTAAAAGATAAACCCATGTTAACTGTTCACACACTTTTATGTATTGTTATTCTCACTTGGTTTCATGGTTTGGATTTTTTAGTTATTTAGTTATTATATTATTAGTAGTATTCTTAAATCTTAATGAAAAAAACGTTTTTCACAGTTTGCTGTTGAACTCGACTGGTCCACGCGGAGCCCTGATTCAACCCCACCCAACACCTTTGGGGTGAAGTGGAAGAGTCTGTGTCGGACCTGATCACCCAGCATCAGTGGCTGCCCTCACTAATGCCATTGTGGATGAATGGGAGAAAATCCCTGCAGCCAGGTTTGTAAAATGTGGTGGAAAGTCTCTCCAGATGAGTGAAGGCTGTTACAGCAGCACATTAATGCTCATGGGTTTACTGGTCAACAATTAAAAAATATTATAATAAAATATAATATTCATTAGAATGTGAAAGTGGTCTGAGACTTTTGGACTCCACTGTATAAAAAAAAGTAGTGTAATGTTCAGGTGTCCACACACCCTAGGCCATATATTGTGCAGCCTACTTAACATAATTCATTCTAATTCAGTTATGGCCAGACATCAATGAACAAAGAAATATGATATTATAAATCAGTGGCCTGACTGAAAAAAAACCCACATAAAATCCTCTTGGCAGTTTGGTCGGTCAGGGTCCCCGTCTGCTAATTCGCTTCAATAATAGTTCAAATGACTTCAACAGGATTAGTCAGACTCTGACTTCAGCACTAATTTCTCCTGAAGTAAGTGACTCAAATTGCCTATCAGAGTTAAGGGTTCATAAAAGATCAGGACCAAGGTGACCCTGTGGCGCTAATTCTTGCTAGTGGAGAGGATTTGTCATTTTGGTCAGCTTGGGGTCCATTAACTGCCCTCATGTTTCATTACCTCAACTGTCCACTGTCACACAGGCTGCTCTGCTACAGTACAGTTTGGGTAATATGCTTATTCACTTTGTTGCTAAGCGTAAGATGAGAAGATTGATACCACGCTCATGTCTATCTGTTAAAGGTAAAGCTCACTAATTAACTTAAGCTAACCATCGCCTGGCTGTAGCTTCATGTAGCTAACAGAGTTTTGTCATAATTAACTCAAGAAAGTTGTATTTTCCATAATGTCAGACTATTGTTTTAATGGCTGTTTTAGAGCTACAGGTTTTCTTATTGAGTCTTTAATCCAATTATTAGCTTGCTCCTAACATTTTCTCTTCAGTGTTGGCTTCATGTTGCTGCTCTGATTCCCCCACACAGCTGAAAAGTCTTTTTCCTGTCAATAAAGCCAAATGCATTTTCCTTTTCAACGCATCATCTTAAGCTCATGACCCCTGCTCCAAAGCCAGGGGGCTGATCAATGCTGCCATTGTTTCATCCGACTCAAGCACGACATTTACATCCATCAAAATAAAACTCTGGACAGACCCACTATAAAAACCCATAATGTTTTCCCAGTATTTTCTTGCACGGTTGCACATTTCATAGACAATTAGTTTGATCTTTTGCACAATTTTGTATTTTAAAAAGCGCCACTACCCAGATTTTGGATGAAGCAGCAGCCTTAGTTTGGCAAATGTTAATCACCATATCAAAGGTAAGGAAAGCCATCATGGATCCCTGCAGGCTGCCGTCCGCAGACTTTGCCAAGAAGAACAGCAGGGCTTTTCTGCAGCTTTCCACAGCTCTCCTTCTGATTTTTTTTAATAAAGCCAGAACCCAGAGGGTCAATTAGCTACGGCTCCATTTCAGCGTTAGCATCGGTCAGCCTCTGACTTGGATGGATTTTCTCTCATTCTCTCTACTGCACATTAACTCACAGACAAATTCTCACACATAGTCTTTCTCCCAAATAACACACCAGAGCTTGTGCACACACATTTGAGACCAAGACAAATTTACCCTGCGACTCCAAGGCTTTACCGTGTCCTGTTTTTTTTCTGTAGTGTTTTACTTATCGGAGCATCTGCTGTCTTTGGCTTTGGTTTGGTCTTTCACAGACTTAAGCATTTTCATTGCTTATCAGACACAAATAGTGTGCCGAAAAGTGGGAGAACATTTCATTTCCTGCTTTGTTTAAAGTTTTTATGTTGGATTTGCAACGTTTCTTTCACAGCCTAAAATAACACACTCATTTCCACCTTTGCGCTCATCTCTTCCCACAGTTTGATCACATAATTTATTTCTTGTATCCCTCTCTCAGAAGCTTATGCCTTACCCTAAAGGCACAAAATCTGAAGCACAGTAGCTATTTATCAGATCAGATTTTTTTTTTACCATACAACAAATCTAAGTGGTGAAGACAGTGAAGAAATGCCTTAGGCAGCGCACTCTCTAATAACCACTAAACATGAACTGCAACAAAAAAATCTGACAGTACAAAACTTCTTGAATGATGGGTTTCCATAAGAAACTATGGTCTTAGTTGATCATTCCAGTCATTTTCTAATTTCTCCATTAAAGATAAGGATTGTGTGAGATGTGAAATGTTTCCTCTCATCACATGGTTAATGTGACGTGAGGTTAATGCTAAAGCCGACATGAAACATTTGTTTCATGTCGGCTTTAGCCAGACTGCTCTTTTTTATCCATACTTTGATTTTCTGACTGTCAAACTGAGGCTTAAAGCCCCTAAATTTTTCATGTGGTAATTTGTTCAAATTATTTAGATGGCACATGATTCTGTTTGTGGTCCTGTGTCTGTCATAGTTTAATTTCTGATGCTGCCATTTGGAGATGCTAAAATCAGAAACGTTCAAGTCCTACACATGAGCGTTTTAGAGTTGTAATCCTTGAGATTTTAATGAGAACAAGCCCAAAAACATGACACACACTGCTTTTAGGGTAGTCAATTAATGTTGTATTATTATAATTATTATTATAATGAATTTTCTTTATATATTTTCAGTAATGCTGTATTTTACACCTCCATTATTTGCTGTAGAGCTACTACAGGATGTTTCCTGGAAAAAGCAAAGTCATTGTACACACATTGAAGGGGGAAATAGAGACAAAATCACAGACAGTTATTATTATTATTGTTATTATTATTAGGTAATCATTCTGAGTTGTTGATTTTGTTGAGAGGAATTTACTTGAAGGAACTTCTATTGTACTATATCCATCATTTATTACTGAAAGTCTTCATATATACTGAATTGTATTCTTGCCTGTAGACAAATTACACATGTTTAATTATTTCTTTTAATTGATTGATTGCAAACGTTTTTTTCACAGGAAATTGCTGGAGAATTATTTAGAAAATATCAGAGATGCTTTAAACAATTACAGAAGTTTTATCTTGCATTTGTGTCAGAGTAGCCTCGAGTTTGCTGCCCTCAGTGGTCAGTATATGTCACGTCACATTCATTTCAAACAGAACTCAAAATCAGCCAGGGCTGAAAATTTTAAAACTGTAGTTTCCCTGCACAACTGAAAATGTGGGTGACGAAACATGTGTTGCACCTGTTAAATTATTTTGAAAGGTACTTATAAATCAATGCAAGGAGCGGACAGAATGACACTGTTTTTTTTTTTGCCTTGAGTGACATGACACAAATGGGGCAGTAAATCTCTGTCAAAAAATAGAAATACGTCCTCACAGTTCTCCCCAAATCTCTGCAAATCTGCTGAGATTCACAGGGAAGAATAACCTTCATCTTTACATTATAGGATCACCTGTATATATTTGTCCTTGTGTCTGTCAGTATACAGTTAGACTCTTCAGTGGGCATTACATTTGTGTTTTATGTCACAGATTAGTCTTTTGTTTCTCTTTCTTATTCACTCTGCCTGTCTGCTTCCCTGTGCCTCTCCATGTCGCCCCATGGCAGGTGACTGATACTACAAGTGTGTCTCTATGGCAACCAGCTGGGTTAAAAGACTCCATAAGTCTTTCTGCCCAGAAGTGACTCGCTTTGTTGCATCCAAGCAAATGAGGCGTATGCATTCAGGTGAAATATTGCAGCATCACCTCAATTTTATTTTTATAAAGTTATTTTTTCAGCATAATTCAACCTCAGCTGAGCAAGATAGCACAGAGTCTTGTGCTAATGTTTGTCTTGGAGGCTTTTCCACCTTAATAAACAGCTCTATCCATCAGAGCAGGTACATAATCGCCTCATTATGACTCCCACTCTGCACCAAAGCCTGTCTGGTGTCTGCCTCTCTGTCGTCTGTGTGACTAACAGGAAACACCTTATCACTTTCTCCTCC